CCAAGGACAGGCAGAGATGGGCCCAAGAACACTGAAGGGCGCTCCCTCATCCTTGGTCAGAATCCCGCGGAGCAGAAAGGGGAGCCCCTGAGGCCTCGTGGGGGCCGGCTGGCCATCCCCACTTGCTGAGGGACATCAGCCCATGATTCGGAGGACGGCCTCAGGTGCAGGAGGCGGAGGCCTTGATTCTGGAGGACAGTGTGTGGCGGGAGGGAAGGAGAGCACCCGGAAAGGGGCCAGCGGGAGGGAGCGCGGCGTCCACAGAGCAGCTTCTGGCCCAGGAGGTGAGAGGGCAGGGGAGACCCGGGACAGCACTCAGCACAGCACCTGGAAGAGGCAGGCACAGGACGCGGGGGAAGGCCAGGCCACCCCGACCAGGGGCCAGGTGTGGGCACTAGCAGAGAAGGAGGAAACCCCGGCGGCCCCCCCAACCTCACAGGGTCCAGGAGCCTCCACCAGAACTGACTGGAACCGGCTCCTGGGCTTCAGGGTACATGGGAAGCTGGAGACTTCCAGAAAAGAAGAAAAGCCACAGGATAAAAGTGTCGGGTTACAGGCCTGGAAAAAGGGGTCTTCACCAAGACAAGTCCCAGAGGAGAAGTGCGCACACGGCCTCATGGGATGAAGATTTTTCTAATCTACAAAGACCACGATAAAAATATGAATAGGCAAGCTGCCGAGGAGGAGAGAAGATCAGTAGATCACATACCCGCCCAAGGACAGGTAGTGGGATTTATGCATCCTCAAAATTCCATAATAAAAAAAATTCTGATTATAAAATGGAGGAGAGGCACTGAGATGCATTTCGCTGTGGCGGAGACACAGATGGCAAATAGGCACACGGAGAGGTGTTCAGCATCCGTCAGCCATTAGAGGAATGCAAATGGAGACCACAGAGAGGTGCTGGCCAACCTGCGATCGCAGAGGTTGATGAAAGAGGATCACAGATTCAAGCCCATCCTGGGAAACTTGGCAAAAACCCCCACAAACCCCCAAAGGACCCAATAACTCCGGTAATAATAATGCTGTCAAACGCTGGCGAAGGTGCTCGGGACCGGATCACCACTGTGACCTGGGGGCACATGACCCTAGAAGGCAATCCGGAACATTCTGATCACACCAAACATCCATTTGCATCCTGGGACATTTGTCCCCTTAAAGGGAGACGCCTACCCACATGGAGACTTTCACAGGGTCATTCACAGAAGCTCTGTTCCTGATTGACCCCAAGTAAAAAAATCCCACTTCTCTCTGTGGTGACCAAGAGGAGGGTCCCCAGCAGAGAATCCCACTTGGCGATGGGAGGGACGTCTGTGGGGACTGGAGCGCTCTGTGTCGTGGCTGCTGGGGTGGACACCGGAGCCTCAGTGTTGGGTAGGTCTGAACACACATACACACACACACACAAAACCCCAACCAGCTTGGTGGACTGTGTCCATGACAACATCCTGGGGTGATGCTGTACTGTGTTCTGCAAGAGGCTATCCTTAGTGGACGCTAGATAGAAAGGATACCAGATGTCCCTTTTACAACTGTACACAAAGCTGCAATCACCTTGGCTAAATGTCCCCTGCATCAGCAGGAGGTTTCGGGGGACCCCCGGTATCCAGCTGTGACATGTGGTCAGCGCTTCCGAAACTCGTGCTGGATTCGAGTTGGCCACGGTGGGGATCGATGCCCTGGTGTGCTGAAGGCAGGGCCCTGGAGGGTCCTGTGGGGGACTGATGCAGGTCCAGCAGGAGTGGGCTCTCCTGGGCTGGCTCAGGTGCCGTGAGAGCGAGTTGGTGCACAGCGAGGCCGCCTCCCGTGGTTCTTCTCTGGCTCACACCTGCTCGCCCTTCCCTTTCCACTGTGAGGCAAGGCCTCCTGAGGCCCTGGCTGGTGCCATGCTCTTGGACTTCCTGTCTCCAAATCCTTGAACTAAATAAACCTCTCATCTTTATAAATCACCCACCCTCGTGCATTTTGTTTTAGCAAAAGAAAATGAGTCAAGACAACCCCTAAGCAGCTCTCCTCTCAGACTCAGAGCCCAAGCCACTCCCACAGCTTAGGGCCCTGTTCGTGTGTCCTCAACAGAGAGCCACCTCTTCCCACTCACGTGCAGCTGAGCCCCCACGTCATCGGACCTTCCTGACCTTCTTTCCATCACAGCCATGACCTGGGAGATGTTTGTTCTGCCTCCCGACACTGAGGTGGCCATGTATACAGAGACCCCGTCTCTCTCTCTCTCTCTCTCTCT